ATAGATGCTATATAGATTTGTTTCTGATTGTTAACCTTTTTAATTTTATTTATTTATCTGTTTTCTTCTTCTTCTCAGTTTTACTTTACTCATCTGGTACAGTTACGTGGTCTTGTTTCATGAACTCATTGTATATTTTTAGTGAAATGTTACAACCAACATAGGCTCATTCAAAATACGTGCCTCTAAATACATTTCTGCAAAACTGAAAAAACGGTTGGTTGCTCTCTAAAGAGGGTACACTGTAAAGCAACAGTCATGTTACAACATGTCCATGTGACAGGTGATCTAATAATAAAAAACACAAGATTTACTAAAATATGGTGTCAAAAGCAATTGATTCACTTCAGTAGTAAGAAATTGGGCACATGAGGATGAACAAACAACACAAAGTCAGCAAAAACAATGCAGGTAAATGAAGACTCACACAACTCAGAGGACAAGAAGACAGACAGATAAGAATGCTGAGAAATCAATTTAGAAATTTCTAAACATTCAGATAATCACATTTTTATATTACAGAAAACATGCACAGTTAAACTGGGGGTTTTGTGATGCATTGACAGCTGTCTCTACATACAGAAGTTTAGGGATTCAGTGAAATTAAATCAAAATTGATTCACACTTATAGTATATTTCATGAGATGCTAGTACTGTGAAGTGGACTTGTTTGTAATGCGCAAACAACTGAGCGAAGAGACAAAAGTGGCTGAAACGCTATCTGTGGGAAGCATTTGAGAAGTTTCAAGGTTTCAAGACTTCTTGTGTGATTTACTAAAATTTCTAAAATTAAATACTTTGGATCTTCTAAGTATTTTCATAATTCCTGCAGGAAATCCATTTGATACAAACCAGCCAGTAAATGACAGTCTCCACCATCATCTCAGCTATGTTCATGGAAAAGAGTTTGAATACGAGGACCCAATGTTTCAGGATTATGACGAACAAACCAAACAAGCACAACTACATGACTGGGTGTGTTGTGATACAGGTGCATTCATCATTTTTAATGCCATTTATTCATGTTAGACAAACAGATACAGATGCATTTTAAAGTTGGAGTGTGTTTCCACCTGCAGATATACATGTGTCTGGTTCCGGCAGAAAATTTGGAAAGCAACCTTGCATTGGCATCTATTGAATCTATTAGTTTTCTTATTTTTTTAATTCCCTTTGCCATAGACAGGCAGAAAAGCATAGTAAAATGTAATTAAATTTTGCACAGTTATAGGACAGGCACAGAAAAATCATCTGACCAAATTTGTTGTCACTCTCTCAAACCCTATAGCACCACCAAAAGTTAAAATATAACTTCAGTGTTAGAAATGTATGGAATAAATGGTCTAGAAAACACGATTAAACATAGTTGAAAACATACTTGCTCAGACTTGTCCTACAGCTTTCAACAGATAAACCCAAATTCGGGTGAAATGTTTTTCAGACAAAAGTCAAAAACCTCTTTTGTGATAGTCAACCATTCCCATGTGACACAATGAATAAATGGTGTGTGGACTTCAAAAGAAGTGACGTCAGATTTTTGATGTATTGACATGGAGCCCTAAAGTCCATAATGATTTCAACCAACATTAAAAAATGGTATACTGATGGAATTCACCTCGGTTTTTTTTTACAGAAGTGATACAGATTCAGAAGAAAACACAAAATAAATGCTATTTCACAATTTCATAGGGGTTTGCAATCTTGCTATCTATCTATTTGCTAGGCAGGTTTTATGAATTTCATTTGCATTAAATTGGTTCAATTTTAAGTTTACACATCCTTAAGTCGAAACTGTAAAATATCAAACTTGCAAAATGTTCTCCTAACTAATGTTAAGAATTTGCTTGAACAGTGTTTGTTGTAGTAGGAAATTATGCCAACAAAGACCATTTTGTTGAAATACCTGTTCAAATGTTGTTCCAACTGACTCTCCAAATAGTCATCTGGATGAACAATGTACTGTGATGCATCATTTATCTCACTCACAGACCCACACAGAACACATGGACATGGATGATCTGCGATATACAAAAGCCTCATCTCCTGGTTTGAAGAGTCGTTGTCGTCTGACTGTGAGCGACTGACTTTTCTGATCTTCTCCTCTCGGCCGTTGCTCCTGAGCACCTGAAAAATAACAAAAAGAAAACTCACAATCTGACAACAAAAGAGAAAAGCATTTTTTTTAGGTACGTTTGGGTTTAAATTAAAAGGGCAATATAACAGTTTTATTGTAAAAATCTATGTAAATATTGCTTTCCATTTATAGATATAGCATTTGTTAAACCCTGCTTTGTTTGACTTTCAGAATCTGTGCTTCTCTAGATCTGGAGATTTGACAATCAAGATGCCGCTGCTCATTGAAGCTCTTCTTCTCATTTTAGCTGCTCTAGGACAGGTAAGCTTGTGTTTTAGTATGAATATTACATACATGAATACTGATGATTGATCATTATGATTCCTGATGCTGCAGGATCACAGAACAACTGTTGAAGGACAGATATTTCCATTGGATATGGCACCAAATTCTGTCGATGACCAATATAATGGTTGTACTATGAAAATGGCGAATCTGGTGAAGACATTTTTAGAGAAGGAAAGATCTTGCTCAGCTGAATTTAATAAGACTTGGCAAGAAGGTGAAGAGAATGCAAAGAAAGCAGAGGATAACTTGCAGCAGATTCATTCAGTCGCTATTCATGTTTACACTAACAAAGACTCTACAGTATATAGTAATTTCACTAGTGCCACTCGCACTGACAAACAGAAATACAGAGAGGGGACATTCACATGGTATTCACTTCACTTTCTGTTAACAGAAGCGATACAGATTCTGAAGAAAACACAAAATAGATGCTATGTAACTTATCGTGGTACAAATGTTAAATTTGATGTTGAGAGCAAAGAGGTTCGTTTGAGCTCATTTTCATCCTCCTCTCTTGATCGAACAGTGATACAGGGTTTTGGAAATAAATCTTGTTTTGAAATCTACACGTGTGAAGGTGCTAATCTGACAAAATACTCTAAGTATCCCGATGAGAAAGAGGTGCTGATTCCTCCATATGAGAATTTTAAAGTCACCACTGTCAAAAACAGGACAGATCAGCCTGATCTTTGGTGTGAAACTGTGTTTGTGTTGAACAGCACTGGAAAAAGTGACCTGAGTTGTGCATTGTTTAACAGTGGAAACCATGCTGCTTTCTTTAATGTTCTACTAGTTTTGCAAATATTATTTTGCAAAGTGTTTACCTGCTAACTGGTATATTTTACATTTCACGTTGTTACTAAACTTTAAATTTCTTGTCATGCTTAATTCAATTTGATATTCCAGGAACAGAATGATACTATTAGTACTGATGGGAATAAAGAAGCTTTTCTAACTTAAAATTTATTTAATCTTTTTGTTTTTCTCAACTTGTGTAAATGCACTTTGGTTTAAAAGCGTTTTAAAAAATTTTTACATAAAATTTACACACTTGGTACGATTATGTGGTCTTGCTTCATGAACACATTGTATCCTCTAGGCGAGCGTACAATGTATTAAGCTTAAGGCATGTTATAGCATGTTTATGTGACTGTTTAAGTCTTAATCTGAACTTATAATAAAGCAAGATAAACAAAAATATTATTTCAATATTTTATTGTTTTATTTAGTCACTTAAGTAGTAAAAA